TACAAGTAGCATTCCTCAAGAAAATCACCACTTGAACTCAATTGTTTCAATTCGGTTACATGTAAACATATTTCATGCAAATAAACATTAGAGCTAACATGCATCGAAGTACTGAATTTCAAAGTTAATTCATAAAAGCCTTTAAGGAACTTCACAAAAAAAGAAGCATTTTCCTAATCAAAAGTTGTAGGAGGCCCACTCCTTCTACAACCATCATACTTCCAACATTAAATATGTGGAATTCCACCTCTTTGGTACATCCAAAAATACAAGTGATTTACAATCAATTTTTTCTTTTCTCGCATACTTCTTTAACTTTTGTTCTCTAGCAGGATAAGATTTAACATATTTTACAGCATTGCGAATACTAACAATTGAATCATGTGCTTCCTTCAACTCTTCGCACACAATCAAATTAACAATATGTGCACAACACCGCATGTGCAGGTATTTTCCATCTAAAACACACCCATCACCACTTCGACCAATCATCTTCCTCTAATATAAGCTAAAAGGTAATTCATCCAATATAATCATCTTAGCACATGCAAGCTTACACTCTTCCTTATTAAAGCCAACTAGAATGTTCACGCTGCCCTCAGTTGGGCTTTTTTGTCGCTTATCTTCCAATCTTCCGGGATACTTCTTACAATAAAGAACCAAATAATTCTTTATTTTTGGTTACTATTTTTATTCGTGGCAAGCCTTGATTACTTGGAGTAAAGAATATTCATATTCATTGTCGTATACTATGACCGATTACTTCATGCTATGACTTTGTAGATGGCAAATCTTGCCTTTGCAGCCAAAAAACATGCAAGTGGTATCTGCAGAAATTCGACCACTATCCAAAAACCGTTTTGCGATTGTTCCATTTGTTTATTGAGGTCACATGATCAAAATGTATATATGTTCTTGCACATGAACGAAGGTCCTATGTTTCTTTTATTTAATGATGAAAGCCCCTCAAACTTTTGGAGATAGTTAGATTTGGGCTATGAAAGTATATTCCATTCGATGGTCCGAATTTCAAAACTTAACCATGGTTAAGAAACTTTAATTACTTTAATTAGCTTAACCACGGTTACTTTCGTCAACGGTTCTTTTATCCTAATCTGATTACCAGATCGCTACGCGTGTCCTAATTAAACGGTCAGGATCATTCATCAGTGGATAACCACTTCACTGGCTGCTATATAAACACTTCTTCGCCGCATAAACCCTAACAAGCACGAGTACACAAATATTGTGCGAGAAAAATAACAAAAATCATAGAAATGGCAAACCCAAAGGTTTACTTCGACATGACGATCGGCGGTCAACCGGCCGGTAGAATTGTCATGGAGCTATTTGCCGATGTCGTACCCAAGACAGCCGAGAACTTCCGTGCCCTTTGCACCGGTGAGAAAGGCATTGGGAAATCAGGCAAGCCTTTGCACTACAAAGGATCATCCTTCCACCGTGTGATCCCTGATTTCATGTGCCAGGGTGGAGACTTCACCGCAGGGAACGGTACCGGCGGAGAATCGATCTACGGCGCTAAATTCGCTGATGAGAACTTCGTGAAGAAGCACACGGGTCCTGGAATCCTCTCCATGGCTAATGCTGGGCCTGGGACCAACGGATCTCAGTTTTTCGTCTGCACCGCCAAGACTCAGTGGCTCGACGGCAAGCACGTGGTCTTCGGACAGGTGGTTGAGGGACTGGATGTTGTGAAGGCCATCGAGAAGGTCGGATCTGGTTCTGGAAGGACCTCCAAGCCTGTTGTGGTCGCTGACTGTGGTCAACTCGCTTAGATCTATCTAGTGAAGATCTGTTGTTATATCAAAGATCCGATGATGATCTATGGATTAGTTCTACTTTCTCTGTTTCGTTTTCATTTTAATGACTATTTGAGTTTACTGTTGGGCTTGTGTTTATCGAAGGTTGTTCGGCGAGAGACTGAATTTTGTTCTGTTTAATCTGAATTTCCTTCATAAATAAGATTCATGCAACTTTTTATGCTTGATAAGCACTATTGGTTGTTGTTTGATCATTTTTTTCTTTTATGATTCTTCATATTGGAGTAAATTGATTCAATTTTAGGTTTTTAACAAGGCAATTTTGTACTTGAAATTGGGATCGTGATTAACACCGTGGCCCAGATATTCTTTTGTTAGATAGTTTACTCGTGGACCAAGAATAGGATACTACTTGAATCGAGGGCCGTTATTGCTCACTTTTGTCATTAATGTCAAGAAAAAGCTACACAAAGAACGCTTTTGCCTTTTGCTTTGTATTAGTTGTTATTAATTGAAGACGAGGAGGAAAAGTTGTTAATCAATCAATTATAAATAGAAAATGAGGTAGATTTTTATCCTTCTTTCTCTTGATTTTGAACATGTATTAGCAAGATCTTGATTTAATTTGTCTGCAGAAACCAAGGGATAAACAAAGTTTTCGATCTCGTAATTACAGTTTTCAAACCAAGAGAAAGATGAAAATAAGTATGTACGTCACTTCATTGTTGTTCTCAATCCTTCGCATTGTTGTTCTCGTCTTCTCCCTCCTCGATTTGTCCCTGTATATCTATCTTCATAACCCTTGTCATTCTCGGGCCATTAGCTCAAGATTAGGCGATTTGTCACTGGCAAGCGTTCAACAAGGTCTTTCAACACATGCCTAGATACATAATGCATCATTTCTGCACAAATGAAATCGAGGCTTACCATGAATCCGAATTGTTATATTTTGGAAAGCCCACTAGCTGCACTATGGTTATTTATTGTAGCTTTAAGGATTAAGGCTTGAGTGCAATTGGATTAGCTGGTGAGTCGACTCTTAGGAATGAGTCTAGTTTTAGGCCCCAGTTGGGTCGAATTCTAGCCTTGATGGGGGGCTGAATTGGGCAAAACTGGATTGGGTTTGGCTGAAGGAGCAAACTTAGCTATTGCCAGAAGGGTCTCTGTTAAGTTTGGCGGTCACTAATGCAACACCTTTTTCACTCGATATTTGATGATTTTCCAATGGATTTAGATATCAAGTTTGCATAATTGTGGAAATATGCCGTAATTATCCATAAGCCTGATAGGGTAAAAGAACATTTTTTTCCCTTCATGACTAAGTAAACTAAAACCCATATACATTTTAATTATGATATCAATAAACAAATATAACAACAATTAATGGCGACGATTCTCTACCTGCAACAATAAAGACATAAAGTGAAGCGCTTAACCATCTCTTTAAACATGTGTTTAAAATAAATATACGTTCTTTATTCAATGAAAATAAAGACTTACAATGTTGCTAATCCCAAGACTAATGTCAATGAATGGAGCGATGATTATGATGAGTGGCTGAGAAATTCAATTTTTGGACTTTGTGTTGTGATTTTATATTTTAGCACACTATTGAGCTTTAAATGAGCAAGTGCAGTGATAGATTATGCCTGTCAATTATGAGACTTGAATCACCAATAAGAGTGATCTCATTTTCATGCAATTGATGGGCGTTTGATATGAGCTTTGGTTGGCAGAGTTTTATGGTATTTGAAAGTTCATGTTTCGATGGGGGTGTTTGTGCTGGTGTCTTTATCAGCATTGGAAAATTGGAAATGCCAATGGGTATGTGTATTGGAAACTACAGTCACACCCCATATAGAGGGTTTTATTCTCTTAACATGAAATCTTTATTCTAGGGTAGTTTGATAAGTGCATTTTTGTGCACTTATTCGGGGCCTTTTTACTAAGCTTTTGTGTCGTTTTATTATTGCATTTCACTTAACTTAGGTTATTTTTATCTTATTTCAGTTTTGGACCTATTTCGAAGCAATTGAAAAAGAAAAAAAAGGATAAATGAGCTAATTGATGGAGTTTTGGGGACCAACATGCATTTGGGGAAAAGTTGAAGGTGACTTGATTGCCAGGATAATTAAGGATTTTATTTGTTTTGATCTATATATATTGGCTTGAAGGTGACTTGATTGTCAGGATATTACCCCCTCCCCTTATATGGATTCCTGTCCTTTATTGTGTAAATATTTTTTAGCCTTTATATACAACCTCCATTTCTTTTGTGTGTGTGTGTGTACTTGCACTTTCAGCCTGTGTATTCCTTTTGAATCTT